TCTCTTTTTAAATTCGAAATATTAATATCAGCGATCAACCGATCTCGAAGTTGAGTTTCGAGAAGGGTCTCCGAAATTATGCTTTGTGACCTGTTTCAGTGGTTCAGGTAAAAAAATCTTTGACTTTCTGGACATTTTGTTGCATCGCTTAGTGAAATACTGATTTATCTGTGCAGTCAAAGCTAGTACTTGATGTCTGCAGATCACCAACGTAGACCATTTGTGTCAAATGATTGGACGCCTACTCCGGTTAGACAGAAATAGTGTGATAAACCAGCTGATTTCGAAGTCACCTCATGGTTAGTGTCTAACGTGGATTACCCTTTTGTCGTAACCATGTACTATGGCTGCTTTGATGACCGTGCAACACGAAAGACGTTAAAAAATATATTAGTTAGAGTAGGTACAAGAGACAGTGTGACAATTGTTACGAGGAGAAGTACATGGAACGTGGTTAAGTGGCGCGCGTTGATTGTCCTTGACATTGACGAGGATCGGTGAATTAATTAAGATTTAGTGATTCTACTGCTGGATGACTTGACTAGTGTCCAATAATATTTCACTGGCCATAAATGTGGTTCACTGAGAAACTCTGAGCGTTCTCCCTTTCTTACTCTCACTATAAATCTCAAACTTCGTTTCTCAAGTTTGTAAATAAGAAGGTGAAGAAGTAATGATTAATAGTTTATGTCAGTTCGTGTTAAAACTTAAAACAGTCGGATACAGAAATGTGATCCCATCTTTTTCGTGAATAGTCAGGTACACAACAATGCACTTATCAGCCATTATTTGCTGACTAGTATAAAATATTGTATCAAAGAAACGATTGGGTGATGATCTTGGAGTATCACAATCGATCGATCACTGGGTGGTGATAAATGTCATGTGTAGCAAGTCCTTCTTGGTGCAGATCGAATGCTATCGACCATGGCATGACATTGATCACGACGCAGTGATCAATCAATTGTGATTACATTTCAGTCCTACAGGAGGCGTCCCGGATAGCCTTGTGGCAACGACTCTGGCTGTAAAGCTGGGTGACACGGGATGTAATCCTTCAGGGAGCAACAGTTCTCTCAAGATTACAGGAAAACCTTGCCGACGGGTGCCAAGTGGCACGAAGCCCGAGTTAAGGATTTTCTGTTTACTACCCTCAATCACCATCTGATCTTGGAGTATTCTGTATTTTTAATATACATGATTACGCTTGTTACCTCTAACTGAAGAGCGTAGGCTGACCACCAGTATTCTTCACCGAATTCTGTCCTGGACAATCCCCTCCAGTTTTTTCCATTTGACACTCATACCTTTGATGCACACTTCCATTTCCAAAAACATAGTGTTATATAGTCTTCCTTTTCCCTTCAGAATTCTATGTTAATGCTTATTTCGTGATGCAGTTTGATGACTTCCACAATGTATGTCCTATCCACTAACAACGTCTTTCCCTAAATTTCCCCTCAACAAGAAGTTTGTTAATTCTCACACACAGTAGGCTATTGCTGATGATATTGTTGACTACTATTGGTTCTTATTTTTCAACCTACGCTTATCTCATACACTGAAGGTGAATGGAGTACAACGAGACTTCACCCGCAAAATACTTAAGACTGACTCAGTCATTAACTACAGTTCCTGATGCCAAATCTTAGGAATAGCACCCCTATAGGAGAGAAGGCTTAGGTTTAATTTGATTCTCTACTTCAAACTACTCAAAAACCTTAATTATTCAACATGTAAAATAGTTCTTGTCCAAGATTCAAATGAATACGAACTTCAAAACAAAGTATCTACCATCAGAGTTGAGAAATACAGACCAAAAACCCGGGAAATGTTCTTCCTTACCAGGTATGCAATAATATGAAACAGTCTTCCCTCCAAAATACGCACTGCAGATGAATTACATGCGTTTGTAAAACCACTTGATCAAGCCCTCACTTGCACTGATCTAGCACGAACGAACACATCTGCGCCCCACTCAGACATCACAGGCCCTCTCCATTTGTAGACCGAAATGGACTTCAAGTTCAGTTTGCCTTATTTTTCCCACTTTGCAGTTGTATTAGTTACATTTTCCACCCTATTTGTAGGTGTCATTACCAAGGTTTGATTTCATAATTTTCCACCCTATTTGTTCACTTGCAGTAGACAGCTAACTCACTATTCAACTAAACTCGGTCGCTAAAGGACACTCACTACCACCCTAAAAAGTCAAGAGAACCGCACAATCGACTGCCTACTACCAGTGGTCTTGCATCTATGGACCCTGTTACCCATCAACCAGTTGGGATAACACAAAATAACATCAGCATGAAGTTAGTGTGAGCTCCTTTTTGTCTATTCTTTATCCGCGTTTTACTCTCACATACACGATGTTGAGTTGCCATTAATATTATTTCTCGACTCGTTACCTTAATAATAACTCATATATTTCTATAGTTTCCCACCTACTTCGGAAAAAAACCATCCCACATTGTACCTTTCTTAATGCCTACACTCTGATGGGCAACCTATACTTCATACTATAGTCAGATAAAGCGCTGCATCGATGTATTACCCACAGTCCATAGTTTGTAACTGCCAGATAAGCTTGCATAATGGTACTTATAGAAAGTTTTTTTTCCAACAGGATGTGAAACACAGAGCATTGTGTGAGATATAACATATATCCAAAAATAAGCTGAAATGAGCCTAACATCACAAAAGGAGGGCTGGTAGAGTTATTGATCTGCAAGCATTGATGGTGAGGGTGATGACTTCAATACACCCATGTTTATGGGGCAGAACATTTTGTTTCTATCAGGCTCTTTATGTTTGAGAACAAGTCAACCAATCTGTGATATTGAAGTTGTTCACCCACACTTACCACTCAGACTAAAGTCTCCAATTTTATGCCAGATTAGCTATTCTATTAAGACAACCAATAACATGCTAACTCGGACTTCTACACTGGGATCGTGTGGCTGGCACCGGATGGACAAAAAAAGAAAAGAAAGAAAAAACTAGGTGACAAAACATATAGTCACTAGTATTCTTAACACTTCACCCTCTACATGTACACTCCCTTCTAATAAACCACTATCCTTGTACAGACCTTGACTTTCCTTCCTTCATGCTGCCTTACTCCAACTTGTTAAACATCACAACTCATTGTTCTTTATTACTACATTCCCTTATATGGAGCCTCTGACTTTATTTCACACTAACAAGAGATAATATGAATTTAATCTAATTTATTATACCTCCGTCTGTTCTTCAACAAAATGTTAAGCAACGTTTGGCGTTTATATCCAAGTGGCTTGCTGCTCCTCTGTTTCTCCTTTTTCACTTAGAATCTTGCTCCGAGAGTACAGCTATGAAACTTATGACGTCTGGAACAAATTGATGCGCGCGTCTCCTCAAGGTCATGGTTTACAGTAGGCGCTCTACAAGTCTACTTTATAACAACTATAAACTTAATAAGTTGGGAGGCGTGTTGTACGCCAACAAGTGTTGTAATTTATGGATTATGTCTGTAAAAATGGCGTGTACCTGCTCATGCAGAAATATGTCATTTTTGTTGTGAATTGAATATTGACCCCCAGACAGTTGCTCTGAGTTCCAGATTTTCTTAAACTGTAAAAATTCTGTCATTATCTGTGCATCTGATCCTCCCTGTTCATCGATGATGCTGAACATGTCATGTCTGTGAATGTTTTCACCTGCTACAGAGTTTCTCCATCAAATATGGTTTGTGCTCTCTATATAGAACTTGAGGATCTTGCCGAGTCCCTTGTGTATGTTGAAGCCTGCTGATGCAGAGGCTGGTGTTGCACTGGATGTCTTAACCGATAGATGTCGGTGTGTACGGGATAGAAGGGCTAGATCATCTGCGAATTCTAAATCTTCTATTTGATGCCAAACTGTCCATTACATTACGTGCTTTGCCTCATATATTGAGGTATTCATAATTCAATCGACCACCAGAAGAAAGAGAGAGTGGGAGAGTAAACAGACTTGTCCAACTCTGATCCTCACTTGGAATGCATCTTTCAGCTTTCCTCCACACACGACCTTGCAACGTAGTCCGGCGTATGAATTCTGGATGATTTTGACGATTGTTTCATCCACTTACACCATAGTGTTGAAGAAGTTTCCATCATGTACTTTTATCCGCACTGTGAAACGCCTTCTCATAGTCAATGAAAGTTGGTGTGTAGTGACGAGTTCTACTCAACTGATTATATAAAGATGATTTGTAGCGTCCCTATTTGGTCTGTGTACGACTGATCGTTTTGGAATCCGACCTGTTGATCTGGAAACTGAGCGTCTACTAAATCTTTCATTCACTACATCAACACTCTGTCGAAAACTGTTCCTGGTACTGATAGTAGTATGACTACTCTATAGTTCTTACATTTGGTGGATTTTCTTTCTAAGGGATCTTGATGAGGTGTCTTTCTCTTCTCTTAACATAATTGTCATTAAAATATTGTGGTAGAGCATAATTGGCTCGGAAAATCGTGGTTGGTATAATACAGAGACGCCACAGTTGTTCAGTACTCGACAGAGCTGAAATAATGAGCGTTCGGTCAGTTGACCATGAAGCAAGAACTAAATATCTGAACTGAAATATCAAGTGAATAATTTTCTGCTCCAGAAACAACGCACTTCTTACAAATAACACATTGCATTAATGTCTCCGGATATTTTTCATAATTTGATTCTCCATTTTCCTCGTGTTCATGACCCGATCAATAATAGAACACTACTGGAGACTTGAGGGCAAATGGTAGCCGGCATATCCCAGTATCGGATTCCTCAGGAGTATGTATTATCGATTCTGCACGCAGCACGCGACGCATTTTCCATTCGACCAATTTGTATTTGAACATTCTAGTGGTCAGGAAATTCAGAAAACGCTTTTGATGGCGTGTGAAAAAATCATTGTAAAATTAAACGACATGAGCTTATTGCAAATGCAATGTTTGTTTAAAAGCATTGATTTAAAAAGTTTTAAGGCCATACTCGTTCACATGACAACTCTTTGAAGCAGTTTTCAAAAATTTCTATCACTATGCATTTTTGGTTTTGAAGTTTTTTGAGCAGGTACTTGTGTTATCGTTATCTGTTATCGACTGCTTTGTTATGAATTGTAGGCGCATTTCATATTATTAACTCATTTTTATAATTTTGTTTTTTACTTCAGATTTTTTCATACGTTTCTCAAGCTATCACAAAACACACGTTCAAGCTAGACGACAGCCGGTAAATATATACGTTTGATTTGGGTATTTGCCATTGAAGCAGTTTAATTCATCGGATTAGGGTGAATGTTTTACTTTCGTTAAACTTGCGGTCTAAAAATCTGTCCATTTGTTGTCCCTAATATAATAACATACCGGTTCCACTTTATTTTGACTCAATTTTAACATTTACTGAACGTAATCGCATTTCGTGGGTAAGATAAAATTATGGAAGGTCTGCCGTTTTTGCCAGGAAATGCCTTTAAAGACCCTACGGTAAGAATATTGTCCACTGATTTAATGTTTGTTTAGCAAACCAATTTTCACCTATCTCACACTCTGGATATGAAAAATGGTTTACGATATGCGAAAGCCTACCCAGAAGTTGGGATTGGTGGTCGTCCTTTGAAAGTCAACCAGCTAAACGAAGAAGAATTAGACGAATTAGCAAATTTTCAGCCGACTTTAACTTATGGAAGGACGAAACAGCCGCTTGTTTCTGAATTCATTCCTGCCCACGTCGCGTTGCATAATAAGGTCCTTCGATTCTATGGATATTTCAAAGAAACAGTTAACGAATCACAAGTTGAGCACTACAGAGTCCGGCTTGTTCAGATATTGTACTTCCTAGAGGACGACAGCATGTTGGTGATGGAACCCTCACAAAACAATAGTGGTATACCTCAAGGTAACTACCAGACCATTAGGAGCGACTTTATTTCACATAAAGCATGTTCTTAACTGAATATATTACATTTGAAAAACGTATTAGTTATAGCATGTCTATATGAGCATATACCTGCTGTTCTAAAACTTGTTTTATTACACGAAACTATTTTATATGATTAAAAGTGGTAAAGTGGTACAAAGTTAGCCTTCAATAATTTTTCCAGTTACAACATCTGTTGGAACAGTGTTTTGATTTAATAGTTTTCGCCATTTAAATTGAAGTTGAGTATTTTAACAATTTTTCAGCTGTTGACCACCTGATGAAGTAAACGTTTTCCATTTGTATCCATTCATTTGGATCTTATAAGCTTTTTGTGGCCATTTAATTTAGGCTTCCGAGTAACTTCAATGTTTGTGGGTGTTTCTATAATAAGAAACTATCAACAAAAAGACGAATTTATTATCTTTTTTCATCTTACTCACTTAAAGGATAAAATTACTACGAAGAAGAGACTACAGGATGGATAAAAAAAGATAGAGCCACATAGCTTAAGACTTAAGAGATACTTATTCAAAGACGTCAGCTGCATCACCAAACAAAAAACAGTGTTTATAGGCTGGCACTAGTGGTACATGAAGTATTGGCAAGAGGTTTATATACAACAAGATTTTTCGTTGGATAATGCTCTCGGAGTAGATCTGTATTATGCAGGAAGAAATGAATGACTAAGCTTCTTATTGAAGTCGTTATTTTGTATTCCAATTGGTCATGTTAGTCAACCTGTGGCATACAATAACTAAAAACGAATAGGTTTGTATGCCTTGAACCATTCGTTTTCTTATTTGTTCTCTATCTTTAAGACTTACTTGAACCTATCGATCTGTTTATCTAAAAAAATTACTTGAATAAAAGAATCATCCTCGAAAAAAACACTTACAGTTTTAGCGATCTGATAAATTAACTGTGAGAAATAAGTAATTTACATTTGGTGGAAACAAACATACACATCAGCAACAAACAATTATTGAGATAAACGTCTAGCAACTAAATGTTTTATTAGTAATTTTTATTCGTATTAGAAGTTGCCATGCTGATAGAAATCACTGTAAGTCACTTGTCTTTCTGCGTTTAATTTTTATACCCATCATAAACCTTAGCAATCACGTCATTCATGACACTGCACAACTATGCACTAGTCTAAGTACTTTCGTTCGTATTTAGTACCAGAACGCCGAAAAATGAAATGAAAAAAGACATCAAATAGTAAAATCGATGGTAGTGATATACTAAACACAAGACGTATTGTTAAAAGGAGCACTTACATAGAGGGAAGTTGAATGTGTAGGACACGTACGCATTGAAAGCTCAAATAATAATAAAAAACTAATTGTATTTGCTTTTCCATAACATATTTTGAGCCGTGTTACAGAAATTCAGTGACCATTACTTACAGCCAATAACCATCCTTAACTAATAAATCTGAATCTTAAACCGATGATCAGCTTCATAGTTGATAAGTTCAAGTGTTGATACTTTCTTGCCTGTGCTACCAGTTTTCCAATCAGAACTACGACTACAAAGGCAGTTGTTCGTATATACTAAAACGTTTGATCATTATAGTCAAGACATTTCCACAGAATCTTCGATCAAATTTCAAACTGTACCCATTGACCTACTCAAAACCTTAAAGTTACAATCTCAGTTTTGCCACTGTACTCAAAAAGGCTTTAATAAAATCTGTTATGAAGCATTACGAAAACCTCTTGTTTGAAAAACATTACTTTCAACAATTTTGAGAAAACCTATAGGTTGGAAAACATGTGCTGCTGAAATTCGTTGACGATCCATTTACAATAAGGAGAACACGACATCAAATATCCAGTAAATAATTAAACTCAGCCAAACAAAACCAATCTGTAAAGAACTTACACTCCGTTTGTTAGATACAGGGTCATAAGATCGTTGTAAATGATGGTTTATCAATCATGACTTATGTGCTATCAAATGGCTGAATTCGAGTTTAATTTCAATTGCAACATTAGGAAATCACTATATATCACCTTACTTATTTAAAAAAACCTAAAATACCACATATGGTTGTCATTTTTCATTTATCGTTTCATTATTAAACGTGTAATGACTAACAACCTCAGCTTAGAAACACGGGTAACATAGAATATTAACTAAGCACTTATAAGTAAGTAAACTTTAAAGTTTAAACACTTTAAAAGACTTAAGTACACAATTATGCTTTGGTTAATTCTAATGTAAAGACGTAAAGTTCATGTAATAAATTAAAGAAGAAACTGATTCGTTTTATATTGAGTCTCTAAATCGTTTGTATCCGTTTTTAATACAATCACAGGAAAATTAGTTTGTAGACATAGAATTCCAAAAAATGATATCGGGGATTGTTACAATTGGCGGGACCTGAATCTTGGTACAAATCTGGCTATATATGGTCGAGTTTATCGCATTACAAACTGTGACAAGTTTACAAAGGTTTGTTAACATTTTAACGTAACTCAAATCAACCGTCAGTCAACTTACTTATTGGTATCTTATATTAGTATGATCAATTAACGACGATCCATTTTGAAATATCTTTTACAGAAGGCTTCCTTCATGTTTGTTGCATTATGATGTATTTTTATTAAATACTTATCGAACAATTGAACCGAAATTATGGGGATACATCATTAGCGACTATCCACAAAAGGCTGAATATCTAATCACTCAACTTTGCATAATCTTAACTATTAACAACGTCTATAGTTTTGATGACATTTTCCAGGAAAGCTGAGAGTTTTGATGATTATCTTATAAATATATTATGATATAATTACAACCAGTTAATTGAAACACAGTAATTTATAGTGGTCTACTGGTCCTTTTTAAATTAGGATAAAACCTTCCTTTAGGCACAAGTTAGATATTCAGAGTAATCTTTTGCTACGGGCACAAACGTTTGTTTAGTTGAAGTATGATACTTGATATAAAAATATAATAATCAGTTCTGTTTGGATTTATTTTCGAATTTGAGAAACTAACATTAAAATACCACTTATTACTAGGTTTTTATTTGAAGACAATAAACGAATATACATATCATCAATTTGACCCATGTATTTGCTTCGTTCTTTTCGCCAAAACCAATTTCTAAACCCGTACAATCGTGATTGTAGTTAGTTAGAACATATAAGTCTGTAGTAAAACAGAAAATTACTACATCATATGAAAGGTGGTCGGAAACGTTTTGAGATTACAAAATTATGTAGTAAACTATAATGGAAATTCATTACACATGGAAGTCAATTGTTAAGCTGAACAATATTGTGAAACAATATATTCTCACTTGAATTGCCTTTCTTTTCTTTCTCAATAACTCTATATATTTCTTTTATTATTTAATACTTACTAATTAAATCTTAAAAAATCGGACAGTGGATATATAACAACTTACATGCACTAGACTGAAAACTAAATATTATATAAGCAAAGATGGATAGTACGTAGCAGTGAGATGCAGGAGGCGCGTTTCGTCCTATGCAGGTACATCCAGCTGTCAAGTCCCAAATAGAACGAAACGCGCGTCCTGGATTCCACTGCTAGCAACTATCCATTTTTGCTTATAAAAAAGCTTGTGAATTAAGGCAATATCGAGGCATACGCACAGTATGCACATATCTCAATAACAGACTGATCAACTGCAGTCTTAAACCTCAATAGGAAGATACAAGCAAAACAATACCAAGTGAATTTAAATATTACATAGTTTATTAAAATTCACTTCATAATTTTCAAATATGTTTTTAGGATTTTTTAGAGAGCGAAGGAGTTATTGTGAATGAACCTGAACAGGAACCAATAGATCCATATTTGGCTGAGAGAGCTAAACGTGAAGCTATAGCTCTTGGCAAAACACCTTCATCCTTTGATAAACGACGACAGTATCTCGAACTTGATCGTAAGGTTTTACGATTTTACGCCGTACAGGATGAACGACATGAAATGTTTGGTGAATGTCGTAAATTTATTATACATGTACGTACATAATATTTTATGAGATGATACTTAATGTAAAATTTATCATTAAAAAATTCCTTTTCTCAGTTTGACTATTTTTTAATATGGTAGAGCAGAAAAAATGTTAGTTATCATCTTAAACTTTAATGTTAGGTTTCTGTTTTTTTTTGTAACTTCTTCTAAACATACACATTACCATAGTAAAATCATTTAGGCGGATTGGAATGTTTACAGGTTCATTTGAGATCAAATTCATCAGTGACTTAAACGAAGAAATTTTAAGGGTCAGCCTATAAACGTTTACAAAAAAGTGTTGACAGTTTACTAAAACATCAAACTATTCAACTGACCTCTTATGTTTAGAAGTCAACTTAAGCTATCTTGCTTCAACCTTTCCAGTCATCAGTTTAGTTTCTTGAGTTGAATGCCGTTAAATATATTCTCAAACTGTTTTAATTTAAATACGGTTGGTCAACGTTTCGTTATTCAAGTTAGTTTTTTTTATTGCAAAACATACTGACCAAACAAGATTATCTTCAACTATTACATGTAATTCGAAATATTTATGAAGAAATTTATTTCCAAACTAAGTATTTTCCGACATAACCTCAAGTGGCGTCCAACAGGGCTTTCCACCGTCTCCATTTCTGTCTAATTTCACCATAGACCTACTTCGGGAAATAATGTTCTCGTCGTCTGAATTTTCGTGAATTTATCTCGTACCAGGAAGTCAACTTATGGACTTAGAATACGCCAATGATATAGTCCTGTCTGGTTAAAACGCTGATAAAATACAAAGTCTTTTGGTAGCACTGAGCAACAATGCCAGAACGTTCGGAATGCGTTCCTCTCCCTCTAAATGCAAGTTGTTGCTTCAGGAATGGCCTGCGTCAACGCCTGAACTAAGGATAGAGAATGAAGTAGTCAAACGCTTTGACAACTTCAATTATCTTGGAAGTATGATAAGCCCTAATGGGTTGGTGTTTGACGAAATATCTGTATGGATTCGAAAAGCTCGTTTGGCCTTTGCCAACCTACGTCACCTATGACGAAGGCGAGATATTCGTCTACCAATTAAGGGACGAGTATACTGCGCAACAGTTCGTTCTATTCTAATTTACGGCTGAGAAACGTGGTCGTTGAGAGCAGAAGATACTCGTTAGTTATTAGTAATTGATTACAGATGTCTTAGAAATATTGCTCGCATCTACTGGGATAACCGAGTAAGTAATAGTGATTTTATACGCAGGGTATTAGGGAGTGGTGGTAAAACAGTTTATGAGGTTGTGAATCTTCATCGACTGAGATGGTTGGGCCACGTGTTACGTGTATCTCAACACCGATTACCACGACGCGCAATGTTGAGTAGCGTTGGGAATGGTTGAGAGAAAGTTAGGGGTGGCCAAAGGAAAACGTGGCATCGGTGCTTGAAGTCATTAACTTCTATTCTGAACCATGTTGGTAGATGCAAACTACTTGGTTGGGGTTCACGTGACTATCTTAAGCAATGGTTGGAGACTGAGTGATATGACTTAGAATCGATCACAATGGCGTAGGTGTATACACTCTTTCTATTTTCTTAAACCATGAGATTAACATCGCTTCATATCTTTCTTTTTACGAACTAATTCCTTCTCTATGTATCATATCCAATGCATAAAATCTTTGTTTTACATATTACTACCTTTGAAATAACTAATTCTATGAACTCGGTGTTCATCTTGTTGTGCTAATGAGGTGTGGTAACTTGAACCGATGCACATATGTGCCTGGTCTTACGTTGTAGCTGATTGACTGACTGACATATCATATAGATATGATTCAATACAGGACAAATAATTAATAAAAATCTTTAAAGAATTCATGTGAAACAGTCGAATTAATAGTCGTCACAACGGAGTTCTAAACTTGAGCTAGTCAAACTAACAATCTGTGTACGTCAACACTTCTGTACAAGATAAAATAAGTTTAATAGAAATAAATTAAATACATATTCATACCAATAAATTATTTGTAATGTATATTTGCCTTCTCTTTTTGTGAAATTCTTATCAACAATTGTAATAAATGAAATAAAAACAGTATTATTTAGCTGATGACACTTTGGAAATACGTGAAATTCATACAGCGAATGATGGTCGTGATCCATTCCCCTTATTATTGAGACGTGAAAGAATACCAAAATGTCGTGATACTATCCCTCAATCATTTCCAAGTGTCAGTATGGAAATAACCGGTAATTTACGTTGTTTTTGTCATGTAAATTGGTAATTTTCACCACTTTCACATGTAAGATCAACTAAAAAGAAGTATAACTTTAACCACTCATGATAGCTGTGAAAAAGTTTATTAAAGGTGAAGGAAGGATAATTTAAAACTTAGAACTATGTTTTTGCGTAAATAAATCAAATGATACAATGTATTAATGATTTATAATTCTATGGTGGTTTTACACCGCCTTACCGACACATTCAACATAATATAAAATGAGGCCATTGATTATTTATTAGCTATAGATTCAAAAAGTTTTAATGATCACATTAGTGGTCCCGAAATATAAGTTGGAGTTGAAAAAAGGCTCAGCAGGATTTTAGTTCAGTGTGATATTTAGGAGTGAATTTGTTAACCATGTTCAACGGTTAGCTTATTGTAGTAATCTCAAGAGCTCTAATGAGTTGGAGATTGAAGAGATATCAAAAATGATCCAAACTGCTCGCACAGCTTTTCACAAACAAGATATCAGTTTATTTCACTCTGTTTCTGTATAACACAGCTTCTGTCGGTTGAGAATATATAAAGCTTGTTAATGCTTGATTATCTATACACAACCATTATAAGCCGTAGCATGTGAATATCCATGGGGTAGTCGAGGTAAACAGTAATTTAGCATCAAAAACACATATTTCAACCACCTTAGTAAGGACTCACGCTAAATAATCAAAAACCTAACTCATAAAACAAAGACTTCTGCTACCAAATACATTAGTGATTTAATAGACAGACATCTATCTCTAGTACACCTTTACAACGTGTAAGTCTTAAAATATTAATCGAGATCTTCAAATATGTTTAAAGTTTGTCATCAGCCTTCAACCCGTTAGTGTTGCTAAGACTTCCAAGATAAGTAAGATGGTCTCCAGGTTCGATTATTTCAGTACTTAAGATTTGTGATATCTTCGAAAGATCACTTCCTTATAGCGGGAATGCTTACCCAACATGAACTGATATTCAGTACTGAACTAGAGCTAAAAGCTCATGAAGCCATTTATGAAGAAGATTATCTGGGATCAAATTACTTAACATCAGAATACATATAAAAATCCATTTATGATAGATTAGTAGTTTTTTCACTAGATTTAGATATTTTATGCTTACAGACCATATATTGTTCACATAGTGATTTTCTTCTCAATTTTCGATTTATCCAAATATAATTTACTTAAAATTTTCACGTTTAAGAAAATGAAGTGAAAGAATATTTCTCACCGAAAGATTTTCATATTGGTCAATCAGTTAATATTCTTGGTCGGAAATATTTAATATATGATTGTGATAATTTTACAAAAGCATGGTATCATAATAATTTTGGATTAACAGAATTTACCCCATTAGATATAGAAATTAAACAACCGGAATTACCGAAAAAGGTTAGTTAAATGTATATAACCTTTGTGTAATTATGTATATATAATTTCATCAATGAACTCATCAAGAATTGGACCGTGGACCTATTAACCTCATTTTATTCATAGTACATTTAGTTGAATTCTAGTTAATTACAATTTTAACTTTAATCAACTCAAGATAATGTGTGACCAATGTTAATCATCAACATTCTTCATAGCTGTCGATGATACATTCTATTTTCTTTGGGGTTTCGATAGCTTTTTATTTTATCTTAATATACTTATAAAGTACAGCTACATGGTTTACTTTATTGATAAAAAGTTTTACTACATCTTCAAATACTTCCAGTTTACTAAATTTTAGGTAGAACAGTTGATTCATCATTGAACTTAACCAGATAAATCAACTAAAGATAATAAAAATTAAATTTTAACCATTTTATTTCAAAACTCCTCATTATTACAGACAATAATGATTATAAATAAAAATTTTAATTGATAATTGTAGTTTATCAGTACAACATAACTTTCAACTAGTATTTGTTCAATATGGAACATAAAATGAGTTAATACAAATCATACTACTTACTGACAAAAAGTACTACAGACTGTCGTAAGCACTTGAAGATAATCACGTCACTGTTAAAAGGCTTACTGTCATAGTTCCTCTTGAATTTGTTATATGTCATAAAATCGGTATACGAGTAGTATGAATCGTTGATTCTTGCCATAAAACTTAACAGAATAATAAAATGTTGCATTTCACTACGTTTTATGTTATTCTATCATTCATAGTTGGTACACGATAAAAATATAAGTCTAAAATCGATGACAGTTCATTTGATATGAACTAAAACAAGTCACTTAATATTGAACAGTCAACTTTGATATTCATAACTAATAGACTAGATATAATATATAAGAAACTTTGACCTATTTTAAGCAAATAGTTTCACAATAGTTGAGACCCTATTATATGGAAAACAGTAAAATGAAATTAAATCAGCAAAAGTCTTGGTGACGGAAATTAAAATTTTGTTTGAATATGCCTTTGATAACCATGTTTTTATTCATCACAAACATATATATATATATATATATATATATATATATATATATGTACTAATCCATTTATTCATTCTCAAACCATACATGCTCAGACTAGTGGCTAACATTCAGAACATTCAGATAGTAGCCAGGACCTATGTATGCCCAGTGGTTTTCATATATAACCTGGGTAAATAAACACATTTTTCTCATTTACTACAGTTAAAATGCATCTCACACCAAACATTCTCATTTTAAAAATTCATATTTAACATTATTCAATACTCTTTAGATATACTTTTGTTTTACGATCTTATTTATATTGGATAATTTTTATTTCTCGTTACTTCCTTTAAGAAGCTCTTACAAAATTTTCAAATGAAACGGATTTATTTTTAATTTTAAACGCTGAGATTTTTTACAAATATAGTTTCATTTTTAATGGGTGTTTTTGTGGCTTACCATTTATTAAACTTAATTCTACGAGAAGTTATTTCTACTTTATATAGCTAAGCAGTAATATATCTGACTACTATCCTATGATAAATGGATTTCACTTTTAGATGAGATAGGTAGTATAGTTTGTTTTAGAGTGTTGGTAAATACAAAAGCTAGGTATACAATTTATTATTAATCTCTATGATGTGTTTCCATTTTCGTAATGGAGAAGAACGTGATTGGAAACATCTTTGACCAACTTAGAAGATACTAATATTTCAACTCTAATAGTGGAATTTCCAGCCATTTGATGGTGGAAATTCAACGAATAGTCTCATCACGCTATATAATGAGTTTACTAGTTCGTAAAACTTTTATCCAGTTGTCCAAAGGTTATACCCTTGCCAAGACATTTGAAGGTTCTAGATCTGATTCTATGTTAGCTGGTGGGTGCGATGTTTTTGGAGTCTCGAAACAATATTCAAAGGGATAACTCAAACGCTTACTAATAATAATATGAACATTATGCTTGATGAACATGGTAATAGCTATCTGGACCTAGTAGCTCAATGAATATCACATTGGTTTCTTTAGCTGAAGCTTATGGCTTTGACTTCCATTATGAATACCAAAATGGGTGTAAGTAAATAGAACTTATGCGTCTCATACATATCACGCACTCTACTGCTACCCATAATCCACTTTCTCTCATTATTTCTTTAAACTTAATGTTTTCAGTGTATTTTCAACACTTTCTTTTTCTCGTTAACATAGGAAATTCCACCATATAATGGCTTTGGAACAATTGAAGATAGTTTAGTATCTACAAAATCATTCATTTTAAAACCTCCAAAAGTTGATTTCGCAAAACAGGTGGATTATGCACAAAAAGTGTTAAGATATGAAGCTCGTTTAGTAAGTATGAAGGAATATCATTATTTTTAAAAAATGTTGAATTGTTTTTCATTGCTATTTGACTTACTTTTATAAAGTCTAACAATTTTCCTCTTGAGGATACTCCATTATTTCTTGACAATTTCTTTTGTAAACTTTATTCGAATGATGCGAAAGAAGAATTTTAATGTTGATATTAAGAAATAGTATCAAGCTATGAGATAAGTGAATTGTGTCGTTTTCGTGAATTTAGTTGTGAAATTAGGTCTAAAGCTTTCCAGCATAGACGGTAGTAAGATAATAAGTATGGATTGAGTAAGGTGATTGGGGCGTGAGTTTTATATGGCTCGTTGATCTGACTCCAATTTGACTGAGTGATTATTCTAAGGAAATATTTATCCCGGCTACCTTTGTACGCAATTATCAACTTAATGCGCGTTAAAGAATAACGGAATAGAATAAGTCAAATACGAGAATGAATTTCGGATACGTATATTTCATACAATCGTTGATCCAGGCAGACAATCAAGAAAACACAGCGGAGAAGCAGGCCTCAGAAGGCAAGTGTCCTGAGTTAGTTTGATAAAGCGTAACTCAATATTTATAGTCAGACAAAAATAAGCTAAATATATTTGATGAATAGAGCAAGTGATACACGCATGCGATCACATAAAAAGTCAAGGTCAGTAAGCGAATGATTGACAAAGTCAAAATGTAACTCTATAAGAATGAATGAATCGGTCTGTCCAGAAACTAGAATAACCAATGTGTTACTCCACTTCCTATATAAATGTCTGAAGTTTACCATCGTGGGATTCAGTTAAAAAGAGGAAGGATCTTTTGAACTAAACGCGTTAAAATGGCTGGGGATTAACTACATGATATCAAGTCATCTAAGTGTACCATGGTCAGTGGTTACGGTCATGTTTTCGTTCTTCTAGTCACTCAGTTGTAAATATTTTGGAATACTCCCTATCATATAATTAATTGGAGGTATTACTTTGGGAATGTTGTAATTTTTTTCCATCGTGACTGACTGCGCTACACTTGACACGTCCGTAGCATGATAGAGTGGTATGTTATTCGTAGAAAACTTTACATTTTTGTGTAAGCTAGTGAAAACTACAAAAGATGAAACACGTCCTCCATCATGAATTACAACAGTGGTTTGTTACTAGCTGCAAGGTCAAAATTGCGAACGAGAGTGTTCGTCTCGTTTCTAACCGTTACCTTAACTTGTACAGAGTGATGCTTTACTTTTTTATAAGAATGTTAAAGATTTTGTAAATTAATGATTGAAAAAACTTTGACGAATTTATTCAAAAGTGATAAGATTATAAAGCATAACTGTCTTTTCCATCCACGTTCACTATCCTTTTTTTAAGAAATAGATTTCCATAAAAATTGAGGATTATTACATGATTCTGATCATAGCTGAAAAGCAATTTTTGTGTATTGTATTAAATATTTGAATTTTCTGAACTATTTCCTATCCATAATTCAAGAAAATAACTGTTTATTTAAGCCTCGGACATTCGTAAATGTAAACCCCTCATATGTGTTCAATAACCATTTGTCGTAACTGTTATGATTTTATGTCCGGCCTTTTTATAACAGGATCTACCCACCAATCAAAATACGACTTATACAATCTTAGCACTGTGCCAAAAACAATGACGATAGACCGGTATGGGCAGTCTAGCGTCTTACTGATCCTATGTCTACCTAGCCCGTCCACTTGAGTCCAGAACACTAATACAAGCTTCCAAATGCGAATCATTTATTTCAGACATACTGAGTTTATATATCAACCAAACAGACCGCAATGTACCATAAAATAGGAAATAACAATTGCATACAATAAAGCAAAAAAGTGACTGTGAACGTGGGAGGCAGTAGTTAATAAACTAACTGTAATTTAGGGTCAGTAAATCGTATAATAATAATTTATAGGTCAAAATGAAGCTTATAATAAGAGGAATATAAATATACAAAATATAATTATTGAATAATTATACAATAAGAATAATTATAGAATATTAGTTTATTAATAGTCCTCGGAAGTTACCTGTAATTTACTCTTCACTGGGATTTAACAGCAACCTTGAATTTGCCCTGGTTATCCTTAAGTCATTTTATGGTCTAGGATAATGAGACAATTTCATATTCTTTCTATACGATGTAAAATGTTTCTCTCCCCTTTGAATTATTATTTAATTGACCTTTATTAATTTCCATATAAAATGCCTTGACAAGTATATATGTAACCAAATTGTTCGAAATGTATAACACAAATACATTACACTTTTTAGATCAACTCCATCTTCTAATTGCTCTATCAACATTTATAAAACGTATCAATTGCTTTAAATAATTGTTTAGTTTATATTCAAATAATAATCTAATTTCTTAGTTTATCTTTACCAAACTGATTCATCTTTGAGTAAATATTTTGTTGTTGTTGTTTTCTCTCATAAATCCGCTATTATAATCATCTAATAATCATGGATCATTTTCAATGATAAATTAAGTTTTGTATTTTCTGATTGTGAATTTCTATTGTGCTTTCTTTTTTGATACTCTTACTGTATAAATTCTTTTGTTTTATTGTCTGCTATGAATAACTGCTTATTTATGCATGTACATGCCAGTTCAAATGACAGGAAAACGAGAGAGAAAAAAGACAGAATACATTAAACAAGAAGTAAAATGCGGGTTACAATACAATGTTTTGGTTGTTTTTATTATAATGATCATTTCATAATAATTAATTTTGATAGTAAATTTATTAGTATATAGAATGTCTTTACTAATGTATCAACACAATACGAAAGTAAGTCAGTAACAACGTAGAACTTCGTACGTACGTACGTCAGTTCGAGTTGCCATATCACATTAGCACAGAGATGCAGTTGTCGATTCAAATCCCGTAGTGGGAGAGGTAGTAAGGGTATAAGCAGTAATCGGGAAGATTAGGGTTTGAAGATGTTATTTAAGAGTATAATCCAGTAAAATAAATTTGGGAAGAGAAAAAAGAGACAAGGAGGAATCAGGAGATTAAAATTTGGGAGAACACAAAGAGGATATGCACCTGCGGCATTGCAAACGATTTTGAGGCGTGTCATTCAGGGTCTCTAACCACCGGTTGCTTTGATCATTATAAATCAATTTTATTCAATGTTACTCCTCTATGAAGGGTAACATGCGTAAGTAAGTACAAGTTTATGTAATCAGTTTTGAGCTACACTGTTATCTTCAACACTAATGATATTTTAATAGTTGAGACCATTAGTCAATTGAAGCTAGACCACCATGGAAAACGTGGAAGCACTGGACGGCCGCTTCGTCCTATTGTGGGACTCTTCAGCAGTGCACATCTACGACCCCGCTTCGCGGGATTTGAACCAAGGACATATCAGTCTCCCATGCAAGACTGTTGATACTAATCAACATATGCTCACTAGTGACTGGCTTCATGATGTATATCCTGGAGTTCTAGTGAGAAGCAGTGACCAGTAGGGTTCAACCAGGTCTGTTGTGAGATAGTAATTCACTGAAGACAATGGTGGATGTGTCGCTCGATTTTGTGGATCGGTTGAAGTTAGACATTAACAGCGTTGGATACCGGTCGGCTCAGTGGTCCAGTGTTTAAGCCTTCTCACGCAAGACTGACAGGTCCTGGGTTCGAATCCCGCGAGGCGGGGTCGTGGATACGCGCTGTTGAAGAGTCCCACAATAGGATGAAATGGTCCTCCCGTGCTTCCAGGTTTTCCATGGTGGTCTAGCTTCAATTGACTCATGATCACAACCATTGAAATTATAGACAATAGTTGTATATCTAGCACTTCAAGTTTATCATACTTTATCCCCTTCCACAGAAATCTTAAGCAGATATTTATTTCTCAACTTTGTCTAGTAGATTGTTTTGTAACATGCTACGACATCTCTTCATAATGTTTAGTTAATTTATGAATATGATTTTCTTATTCCAGTGGAATGAATTTATTTGTTATGATGGAGATTATGTCACTTTATTTTAGCTTGTGATATACCTCATTTCTATTGACTTACTTATCGAGTAAGATAATATTAGTGTATTTAAACAATCTATTTAATTGTTAGTGAGATATTCTATCTAATTCAGAAGGATTTTTCAATATTCGGGTTTTCTCAAACTAATGTATATAAATTCTCTAAACTTTTACTCTGTTGAATATTTTCTTAAATCTTATCCATAGGTTTTTAAAATTCATTCATAAGTACAGTAAAACTATAGGTGATCAACTGAACATACACTTCGTCTAGATCTACATATATCAAATACTGTAAATACGGTAAATGGTTTAAGTTACCAAAATGTTATGTTTAAGATAAGTTGAGGGTTCAAACTAATTTTTTATCAGTGTGTAGTTCAGCTATCGCAGATTTAACAGCAACTATTTAAAGTAATCGAAGAAGTCAACTAGTTTTCAACTGAAGACCTCGACTGAGAATATTGTATGGCAAGGGTGGTACATCAGATCAAGAAAGTAATTAGATTTATTCATAGTGCTTGAAGGTAGGATATATTGACTAGTGAATTACTTACTTACTTACTTACTTACTTACCTACTTACTTAGTTCCTACTTACTTACCTGCTTACGCCTGTTACTCCTAACGGAGCATAGGCCGCCGACCAGCATTCTCCAACCCACTCTGTCCTGGGCCTTCCTTTCCGATTGGATCCAATTGTTGTTCATTCTTCTCATATCTGTCTCCATTTCTCAGCGTAATGTGTTCTTTGGTCTTCCTCTTCTCTTTTGGCCTTCAGGACTCCATGTGAGGGTTTGTCTTGCGACGCAATTGGGTGCTTTCCTCAATGTGTGTCCTAACCACTCCAAGCGATTCTTCATGATTTCTTCCTTCACTGGAATCTGGTTTGTTCTCTCCCACAGTAGATTGTTGCTGATAGTGTCCGGCCAACAGATCCGAAGTATTTTGCATAGGTAGCTGTTAATAAACACCTGTATTTTCTGGATGATGGCTTTCGTAGTTCTTCAGGTCTCCTCCCCATACAGTAGAACTGCCTTCACATTTGTATTGAAAATTCTGACTTCGGTGTTGGTTGAGAGTTGTTTTGAGTCCCAGATTTTCTTCAGTTTTAAATATACTGCTCTTGATTTGCCGATTCGCGCCTTCACATTTGCATCAGATCCACTGTGCCTCCAAAGCTTTTCTGTCGAGTGTGACTTGATTGGTGAATGTTGTGTTGTATTTGAAAATCTTGCTTTCCCCTTTGTGTATGTTGATACCTACTGCTGCTGAGGCTGCTACTACACTGGTCGTCTTCTCCTGCATTTGTTGTTGTGTTTGCGATTGAAGAGCCAGATCATCTGCGAAGTCCAGATCGTCCAGCTGCATTCTAGCACTCCACTGTATCCCATGCTTCCCCTCAGATGTTGACGTCTTCATGATTCAGTCGATCACCGGGAGAAAAAGAAAGGGTGAGAGTAAGCAACCTTGCCTAAGTCTCACAAAAAACGCTAACCAGAAAAATTGACTAGTGAGTACTATTTTCGAATTCACTACCTGATACATTTACATCAAATCTTATCACAAGTTGCCACCACAGTTTACTCTTCTAAACTACTTGTATACAATATGATTTTTAAAAACCTATGAAATCTCCAATTACAAAATTTAGCTTAAAATATTTTCTTATATTTTTGAAAAATTTACTTTTCAGTAGGTAATTTGTTCCTTCAGTCAAATGGTTAAATTTCCATCTAAATTATTTTACTTACTTTTCTTACTCTCAGGGCAGATTTTAAAAGGTTTGAATAATTTTTTCCGGTTAGCGTTTGTTTTTAGCGAGTTAGTTTACTACGGGAATGGGGTTGATAACCCCATGTCTAACCCACCTCCTTTATCCGGTCTTGGGACCGACCGTAGCCCGGTTCATATTTAAAATAGTTAAACTTTAAATTTTCAGTGAGAATATAATCTACATTTAGTTTATTATTATTCAAATAATGGAATTGAAAATTAAAAGCGTTTCAATGTCAAACACCATTAACTATATATTTATCAATCTGTATAATACCTTATAAACTATTTAACATTTAACATTGAAATGAATATTAACACATTAAATGTGGATTATTAAATCGATTCAAACAAATTTAAACTAATTTAATTAATTAGTAATTGAATAAAATTGAAAAGTCACGTTTACTAAATTAAATTTTTACATTCATTAATTTGATTTTTATTTTTTTTAAAAAACACACCCTTGTTTTAATTATTTATTTTCAAATAGTTTATTATTCATTGTCTATTTTAATGGTTCAATTTTATGATTAATTCACTTTATTTTATTAATTAGATCATTTAGTTTGACTTATTAGAAACTATTATGGAACATTCAATTTAACAATATAGTTTTTATTGTCAGCAACTTTATAATGAGATATACTCTTTGTTGTGACTTATTTACTTACTTACACCTGTTACTCCTTCTGGAGGAGGATAAGCCGCTCACTAGCATTCTCCATCCAACCCTGTCCTATGCAATTTTTTCCAGCTCTTTGCAGTTGTTATTCATCCTTTTCATATCTGAATCTAGAAGTAATGCGTTCTTTGACCTTCCTCTATTCCGCTTCCCTTCAGGATTCCAAGTTGGGGTTTGTCTGGTGATGCAGTCCGATGATTTGCGTAATGTATGTCCTATTCATTTCCATCGTCTTTCCCTAATTTCCTTTTCATCTACGATTGCGACTTTAGGGCCGGCCTTTTAATACATGATTTATCTGCCAATCGAAATACGACTTATTCAATCTTAGTACTATACCAAAACAATGACGTTCGACTGGTATGAGCAGCCTAGCGTCCTTATTATTCCCTTGTTCACCTAGCCCGACCAGTTGAGTTCAGAACGCCAATAACAGCTTCCACTATGCAGATCATTTATTTCAAACATACTTGATTTAAATACCAGCCAAATATACCGCATCCCATCATAAAATAGAAAATAACATTTATAGAAGATCAAGCCAAAATTGGCTGTGAACATGGGAGACTGTAATCAATAAACTCAACATAACTTATGAACAGTAAATCGTATAATATTAACAATCTATAGGTCAAAGTGAAGTCTGTGATAAGAGGAATAAAGATTTACATAATCTAGTTACTGAATAGTCATACGATAAGAATATATATTGAATACTGGTTCATTAATAGTTTTCAAAAGTTGCCATTCATAATTTTGCCGGGATATAGCACTCGAAACATTTTCCCTTATTGTCTGGTTCTTTATTTCTCCCATGAATATTTTTCAACTGATTTTTTTAAACATATACGTAGTCAGATTTGAGGTCTTACATCTTTAGAAAGTACTTAAAACTAATGATCATCGAACAAAATCTCTGTTTTAATATTTATCTTTTCTTCTTAAATCAAGAGTGATTTTTTTAAAGCCAATTAATCCATTTATTTCTATCACCCCATTGATAAGGTTTGTAGACACATTAAACGGGAAGAATTTTCAGACGTTTAGAAGTTCTTAACCATTGATCTTCTTAGTTTTCTTTCTGACTATTCAAAACAGGTTGTTGCCTAAACTAGTACTTTTCCACAATATATATATATATATATATATATATATATATATATATGCTTCTGAAGATGATTCCAATCGTTTAAAAAATCTTTGAGAATCATCAACTAATAGATAGTCAGTTACTTTCTGTTATTGTTTGACTCCTGATCAATAACTAAATTAGAATTGGGATGAACAACAGTAAATTAAAATAGTTGACCACAGTGAATAGTGAATCAATTACCATGAATTTTATCGTAAGCATTTTTGAAATGTTATAATTAAACAATGATTAAGGATTCATATTATTTATATTAGTGTTATTACGAAAATGTTTATTGTTTTAAAATAATGTTGTTATGACTGTTTAATATTACTAGACTGTCTGATATTTTGTTTAAAATGATTGAAAAAAGTAGGAATGTTCAAATGTGTTTATGTTTATTTACTAACAATCATGAACATACACCGAGAATCTGCTCACATCATTCTGGAGATAGTAACTTTTATTTAAGAAAAAAGTAAAGATCTTCATCATAAGTTATGTTTATGTTCGTTTCTAATCTTATTATCAAACTTGTTACATGCTTCTTAAGAAAAAAAAATATTTCAAATGTTCCAGATCATTTTTGAGAATATGGCACTTCTATATTGAATGTACATTAATTATGTGTTCACTTATGTATTATAGAAGCTCGCATGCAATTAAATTTGTTCACATTTAATCTGGTTAAGCCCTTTTGTTAATTAACGGCTAGAGTCATTTATACAATAACAATTTATCTATACTATTGTACCTTAATTATTGTTACACTTGTATGAATATGTATACTTGGACATTGCTTACTGCCTACGCATAAATATTCATTCTGTTAGCCTTACTTTTAGCCGCTTAACTGATTCGATGATTCACTCATTTCACTAATATATATATATATATATATATATATATATATATATATATATATATATATGTACATTTTAATCCTGTTCACTTACTCGGTCACTCTCTTACCCGCTTGCCTTTCGGTACTATTCTTTCATACTTGCTTAGCGGAGCTGTAATTTTGGTTATCTTTGCGTGGTGCAATAATAAATTTAATCAACACTTCGTATTTGCCTTCTGATTAATACACCGTTGGAATTTTATCTAGTGGTAGCTATCAGGACGAACTGTATACGAAGTTTAAGGATTATATTGAATACCACCACAGTATATTTTGTATTCATTCCAAATTTACAATCCAAAAACTCGACTTTAGTACTGTTGATTACGTTGAAATAGATGTCAGTATCATTTCGATTTTTATGTTCAAACACAAAAGTAACACAGAAGTACATCTAGTTTACCATATTAGTATAAAATGATGTATATATTAGATAAAATGCTTGAACATAATACTAAAGTAAATTTCTAAATGATCTGCTTGTAATTAGAAATAAAATATCGTAGATCTACTTTCATAAGAAACTACAAATAAAGTGTATGACAAAATGAACTTAGGTGTATGTACAAACTTTATTGATAATCCATTGGCTGTAATATCTTGTGTGACAACATAAAAATTTTTCATCTTATGGAAATACATTATTTTTCATTTTTGTCCTTGTAGGATAGTTTTCGACCTGAAGATACATATCGACGATTTATCATATCGTATCATCTGGCTGATGATATGATATCAATTTTTGAAACTCCGATAAGAAACTCTGGTTTCCCTGGTGGGACATTTCTCAAAAGATCAAGGTAAAACGTAGATTAGATTGTTTCCTTAAATTTTTGATATTTTATCTAGTTGATAATTTGAGGAAGTCAGAGTACAGTTAGCTACCTCAATGGTGTAGTGGCCTGAGATCTGACTCCAGGCAGGTAGTTTGCTGCTTTTATCGAAATATACATGTCGCCGATCCTCGTATATAATCATCTACTCAAATCGCGTTGGTGAATAGCGGAATTAAACAAGTCAAATACGAGAATGGATTTTTGAATACGTATATTTCATACAATCGCTGAACGGAAAGCAAAGTAAAACAAGCAATGGGTAAGGCGAGTGAGTCAACTCAATTCAGCCAAGCGTTAACCGACATTTATAATCAAACAAAAATAAGTTAGACACATTATGGGTAAGGTACGTAATTAGCACACATACATTCATATAAAAGACAGTCAGGATTATTAAGCGAATAAGTGACAGGGTAAAGGTGTGGTTAGTAAGAGTTAATAGATTGATCTGTCCAGAGTTTAGAATAACCTATGTTGGCTTGACACAGTACCAGCCCCTATATGTTTATTGATTAATAAGACGTTACTTAGTTTTCACAGTGCTTTTGGCTCAGGACGAACTACATGATGGTAAGACACGGTAATGGATTGTAGGAAAATGATAGTGTTTTATTTAGACCAACCTACTTACCTTTATATCATTACGTCAGTAACTATATTATTTCGATTTGAGTTATTCACATGTTCGTGACCGATCATTTCACTAAATAGTTCTCAATCATGTGAGTATATGGGGTCACAACTGGGGTGAAAATTTCAAGGTCTTCTTTTCGACGCAAGCCTTCAAGTACCTGAATTTGAAGCAAAGGGCAAAAGTAGAGTAAATTGGTTTCATTTATCAAGTCTTGTTACTAATACATGCTCTAAACTCTCTATCAGTACAACAAAATAGAATACAGATTTTTGTTTTATCATATAAGTGATACCCATAGTTAATATGTTTTTACTATGTCTAGGATCTTCCACACACCACATTTGTGTACCCTGATCGTAGTCAAAATAATAACCAGTTGATCGTTACACCTAACTCTCTCATGTATTTGACACCTCATTATCTCTGACTCTTATGACTTACAAAGTTCTGTTTGGATTAATCAATAAAATACAGTCAGTGACTGAAATTTAAAAGACTAATCCGCTGTGTTGTTTTTTTCTAGATCGGGTAAATAGTACATATTTAGCACTAACGATGTATACATCGTGCTTCGTTATGCTAATATTTAACCGTAAGTCGGCAAACGATGGGATCTGTTGCAACCTATGTTGCTAAGATAAATGAATTGCTAATTACTGAAGTTTCTATAGTTAATCCAAGAGTTATGATGCACCACAATTCATTGAATGAACATTTAGAAATGAAGCTTATCGGTTCGAGAAGGTCTTTCCTGAGTATAGGATTATTCGATTAGTATATCTTTATTTAGTTAAAATATTTCCAAACATGTGCCACATATAAGCAATTAATAACACAATAAAGCACTTTCTAGTTCTTTACTATTTCAAGTTGATATTGAACATGGTTTATGTGGGACAACTACGAATAGAAACCTCTTTACGGTATCATATGTTCAAGAGACAGATTTACGTTAGAAGTAAACAATTACTAGTATCTATCTGCTGTAACACTAAACAGCATAAAAAATTTCTGAGAATGAAGGACGACATTGAAAGTGTGGCTAAATACAACAATAAAATTTCGATTATTTTGCCAGAATTTAATACTACTATCATTACTTCCTAACGCCTGTTACCATACCATAGGCTGATCAAGAGCATTCTCAATTCAAATATGACCTGCACAATCCCCTCCACTTGTTTCCATTCGACACTCATACCTTTGATGCACACTTCCACACACACCCAAAACAATGGTTATTTAGTCTCCCACTTTTCCGTTCCCTTTCAGGGTTCCATGTTAGTGCTTATTTCGTGATGCAGTTTGATTATTTCCACAATGTGTGTCCCATCCACTAACAACGTCTTTTCCTAATTTTCCCCTCAATAAGAAGTTGGTTTATTCTCACACACAGTAGGCTATTGCTGATGATATCCGATCAAAGGATAATTAGTATGTTGTGTAGACAATTGTTTGCAAATACTTGTACATTCTCGATGATGGTTGTGGTAGTTCTCCATGTTTCAGTTCAGTACAATGGAATTGTCTTGACGTTCGTATTGAAGATTCTGATTTTGATAATCGCTTGTAGACAGTTGTTTTGGTTTCGAGATGTTGTTCCACAGTAGGAATGCGATCCTTGCCTTTACGTTTGCATTGGATCCTCAATTGTTCATCGATGATTTTGAAAATATCATGTCTGTGGATGTTTCCACCTGTTCCAGAGTTTCTCCATCAAGTTTGTTTGGTGTTGTCTGTGTTGTAGTTGAGGATCTTGCCTTAACACATGTGAATGTTGAGGCCTAGTGATTTAGAGGCTGCTGCTGCTACTCTGGTTTCCTTGACCTGCATTTGTTATTATATATGCGATGAAAGGGTGAGATGGTTGATGTTTGGTGACAAGTCACACTCAATTGATTGTTCGACGGGGATATGCATTGTGCCCATTTGGTCTGTGCACGATTGATCCTTATAGAATCCAACCTGTTGATGTGGAAGTTGAGTGTCTGCTGAATCTTTCATCAGGTTCAGCAACACTCTGTTGAAAACGTTTCCTCGTACCGATAGTATTGTGATGCCTCTTTAGTTCTCACACCTGTTCAAATCTACATTATTTGATATCTTGATGAGATTTTTTTCTTTCCAGTCTAATGGCATTGTTTTACTGAAGAAAAATTCTCATCAGTGAATAGACTAAAATTCTAACGGTTCAAGGAATTTAGATAAAGAAATTTATATCAAGTACACTTTCTGATAGGTCTTGCGAATTGAACGCTATATTCGTTTCCTAAGCTATTCTTTAATCCCCAAGCTAGAACTATACAGCGACCTGAACAACAAGAGAGAAGACTCAAAGTATGCGACGAGGAGTTTACTCCAAGGTTCATTTCAATACAGAAAATACATGGTTTTTATAATATTTTAAATGTCCTTGGGTTACTAGAAGATTTTGGAGTGCTACTAAACATAGTAGCAGTGTAGCAATCAGCCAATCAGTACCTCTGCATGTGACGTTTCACTTGTTTGATACTTTTGGCTAAGACTTCAAGTGAACGCTGGGTGAATGAGACGCTTCTTAGTGTTTCCTGATCCTTGCTTGTCTTTTGCAAGAAATATTCTTGATCACTCCAACACTTTCCTTGTAACGTTTTTTAGAAATTTAATTTAAAATGTTTATTAACTGCCGAGATTAATCAGCTACGTACCGTTTAAACAACTGTAATCATTTAAAAAAATATAAGACTATTTTGTTCAACACTTTGACGTGAAACTAAATGAATTTGTGATTGAACATTACAATATGTTCCCGCACCCCGCGGGATTCGAACCCAGGACCCACTGGTTTCGCTCACGAGCACTTAACCACTACATATTTCGAATCCCGCCAGAGGGGCGGGGTCGTGTATGCGCACTGCTGAGGAGTGTCAAACTGGGACGAATAGGCAGTCCAGTGCTTCCAGGTTTTCCATGGTGGTCTAGCTCCCATTGATTCATGATTTCAATCTATGAAATTTCTAAAATCTCCACAAACCCCTTCTGATAACATTACAATGTGTTTAATTCTGTAACATAACCATAATAACGACTAAATCTTTATATTAAATAACAATTATTTTTCTTTAATTTATACTATGTGGTTATCTCCCATAATATTCTCTTCGTTATTACTTTAGAGTTATGAAACCTGGAAGTACATTAGATAATCCAATTTATTATGGTCCTATAGATTTTTCAATTAATTCAAAAATTGATATATTTGGTACACGTTTCATTATAACCGATGCTGATGAATATGTTCTTAAATTTCTTGAAGCTAATCGTGATCAATTTTCTGATGAATTAATTAATGGTTTACATGAACATTTAAATAATAAAGAAAATCAAACAATAATTAAACAACAGTTTTATCACAAAGGAGGTAATGTTGACTTTAAACGAGAGTAAGTCAAAGTTAAAATCAACAATTTAAATGTTTCTATTAATAATTTCTCTTTAAATCTAACTAATAATGAATTGACTAACCTAGTTACTTTATAAATACACAATTGATAGATAGCATAAAAAATCTCACATGTTCCCCATATACCAATCAGAACACTGGGAAAACCTTCCAAGTACATTTTATTATTCTGTATTATCCAGACTTGAAAACTTTTGTGATTGTATACGTAGAACAAAAGACTAAAACATAAAATAAATAATACATATCAATGTGTACACATCTGACTAACAGATTTATAATTAATTTACTCTAATGTATGAACGGTAAACGATATTAAAAAAGGTTAAATCTAAAATGCTTACATGTATACTATTAACAGGTGAACGTAAATGTATAACTAACTTGAATTCACGAGTCAATTTAAGTTAGACCGCCACTGGAAACCTAAGAGCACCGGACGACCGTTTCGCCTAGTATTTGCATACCTAGTGTTATATCCCAGTAAAGATTAAATCACGAGTAACTTCTGAGACATATTAATTGACTAATATTATCTATATATACTTATGGTGTAACTATTCAATAATTAGATTATGTATATTTATATTCCTCTTATTATAAGCTTTATTTTGACCTATAATTTATTATTGTACGATTTACTGTCCCTAAATTATGCTCGGTTTATTAACTACTGCCTCCCACGTTCACAGTCACTTTTTGGCTTATTTGTGTACAAATGTTATTTCCTATTTTATGGTACGTTGCGGTCTGTTTGGTTGATATATAAACTCAGTATGTCCGAAATAAATGATTCGATTCGATTCGCATAGTGGGAGCTTGTATTAGTGTTCTGGACTCAAGTGGACGGGCTAGGCGGACATAGGACCAATACGGACGCTAAGCTGCCCATACCGGTCGAACATCATTGATTTGGCACAGTTCTAAGATTGTGTAAGTCGTATTTTTTGGTGGATAAATCACGTGATAAAAAGCCGGACATAAACTCACAACATCTAGGCAGTGCGAATCCACGATCCCATATTTGGGACTCAAACTCAGGGCCTTCAGTCTCGTGCATAAACGCGTAACCTCTAGAACACTGAGCCGGGATATGACTGTGAAAATAGTACTGGCTTCAAGATATACCACGTGGAGTATAGGGTGTGAGACAGTCACCCATTTCAGACAATGGATAAAGAGTTGAACAAGACGATGGGTTAATTGAAGTTAGACACTGACATCGTTGGATGCCAGCTCAATGGTCCAGAGCTTAAACGGTCGTGCGCGAGACCGAAAATCATAGGTTCGGATCCCGCGCGCAGCATCATCGATGAGCACTTCTGAGAAGTCCCATACTAGGACGAAACGGCCACCCATTGTTTTCAAGTTTCCAATGGTGGCGTAGCTTAGATTGACTCGTGAATTAGACCTAAAAACACTACAATCTCCATAAATCCCTTAAATTAGTTTAGCCAGATGGTTAGTCTATCCGATAGTACCCAGAATTCGCATTCAGTCAATGTTTAACATAAATATATGTCTTAGGGATATTTCACATATCGTCAAGAAATAGGAATGGATTAGGACTAACGTGATCTAACATCTGGAAACATCCTAACAATTCTCAACGTTATACGATATGTTGCTCGGACATGTAGATGTATGAGGATGTGTCCTACCTATAGTTTAAAAATACCAGATATCCAATGTTTATACCATACAATTGAATAATTTGTCTTTCACTAATCATATGAACTATGAAAAACAGTAATAATAGACTAGTTCAAATAGTACCATATAAAAATTCTGACGTAGTACATGTACTAGTTTGAAGAATTCAATGGTATTGAGCGCTAATGTTTTGTTAACTTTCGGTCACTTAAATGGAAAATGACCAATTTTGAGTAAGTAAATCAAAGGATAATAAACGAACGAAATAATTTTGCGTGTACTCCTAAAATAGTCTATTTAGAAAATACTGGATTGGAATAGTTGGAAAACTATTAATTGTAAACAAAGTTTGCAGTTGAATTCATTTGATTGATGGTAGTTCCCGTACATGTTTCACGTAAGTGTCAGAGGACAACACAAAATCCTTTCGTGTTTACGTAAGTGTAAAACGAAGCTTGTTGTAAGTTAATAATTAGTAAATGCGTTCAGAACTTGTGTGTTAAGTTTAATTTACAAACTCTCTATTATATACAGTCAGATGACGATTAGTACAGACATGTTAAATTCACACAAATGTACACCTATTTCAGAATACAGAATCTGATCGAGCATTTGACTGTCAAATGCACTAGTAATTCAGTTTTATTGTCTAAATTGTGCTCACTTGTATGTCTAATTCGAATGCCTATATTTATATTGTTGCGTAAGGATAAACATCTATTCTCAGTGTTCAATTGAAATGCAATATCTGGCATTTTCAAACTTCATTTCGTTCATTTAATGTATTAGTGATGGATATAAGAGTGCAATTTTCACTGGACATTTCATTTTAATTATCTAAAAGTGTTTACATGTGCCTTCTATAAAAGCTCCATTGTAGATCAACCCAATTTGCCAGATGGAAAAAAAACAGATAAAGCAAAGTTAGAGCTTGAAATGAAATCTCCAGTCAAAACTATCATCTTACAAGCACCATTCACTCACCGGTACATGTCAGCTAATTTAATTACTTAAATATACATCCAAGAATATTACCATTCGAGTTCTTATTATAATTCATTTATAATTGGTCATCAAGTAGACGGAAACAAAAACAATGATTTGGGTTGGTGCTATTTCTTAGCACTAATTAATTAAGTTTTACGTATTTTAAGCTGATGAGTCCTACAAAGCGCAATAGGTTAGTATATGATTTGCTGATTTTAGAACAACAATTGTTTTCAATTAGATCGTCATCGGGCTTTATTCTAATATACATGAGTCTTTATACGTTTGACCTTCTATTTCCAAACTGGAACTATTGATAAGACTTTTGTTATCTTATTTTATTGTTCTTACTACTATCAGTACACATGTCTTCCCACCATCAACTTGTACTTTTACCTATTATGTGCGGTGACGTGTTTTATTTCATTGTGATTATTGACCCAAAGAGCCTTGATTGGTTTAACATTTTCGTATAAATATTCATGTTTATTAAATAAGGCCTGGTGAAGATCTAATTGAAAACAATTGTTCGCTTACATGTGTTGTTTTTTATTTGCTGATTTGTAGCTGGTAAATAAAAAGAAATTTCGTAGACTAGTAATCGTTTCCTATTGATACTCCTATTGTTCAGAAATCCAATGACAAACAATAAATCTCAACTTCAAAGGTCAAGACTATTTCAGTCGTACACATAATTGTGCACCATAACAGCTACTTGACAGGAACTAAGGTGATGGAGACTCTATACGGCTTTGTTTTAATTGTTTTTGAAAATATGGTCACGTTCAAAGACAATGACGGATTAAATCATACAGCTAACACATCCAATTAGAGAGATTTCACTTCATTGAAGCTAACTGCGTATTAGGAAACAAAGCAAAAAATAACCTGTTTATCGAAACTAGTCCGTCATCAACTTTTATTGTGAAATAAATTGATGTAAAACCTTTTCCTCTACAGGGCCTGGATCCTCTGATAAACAGACATTTTAGTGTATGTCCATTAATCTCAGTATGCAATCAGTTTTCTCAATTTTATGTGAGTTGAGAAACTGAAATTCTGTTTAGTTTGAATTATGAAACACACCGGTTGATAGTAGGAGACAAGCTCTGTAATTACTTTCATTTCCATAGTCTATCTTACATCTCATATGTGAATCACTTTGTAGTCTGTTTCATATCTTGTTGTAAACGTAATATTGTATTTACTGTAAACAACTTACATTCCTGTCCAATAATCAAAGTTAAGAAGTCAAATATCATCATTAATTTGCAGAAAGTAGCCACCGTACGATCCAGGTGTGTGTTCAAGATGAAACTTCGACTAGGGCACATTCACTTAAGTCAAAAATTTGTTTTATTCAGCAGTTTCTACTTTATTTATAATTAAGTTAAGTGTATAATTATTTCCTGAATATCATGTGTATAAAACATCCTTTTAAAATAAAACTAATAATAATTATTGCTATCATTATTGGATTCGGTTAATTGTTCAATGTGATTTTCTCAGAGATGGTGATATTAACGATATTATGAATGAAGTTAGAATGCAATTAAAGAAAATGTCAATAACAGATAAATGTAGAATTGATGATATGTTTCTTACATATAATAAAGACAGACGTGGTTGTATTGACGTTGAAAATTTGAAAGATATGTGTAAGAAAATCCACATTCCGCCAGATGAGGACGTACTCAAGGCGGTAAGTAACCTAATTTAATGAAAATTGATTATGGTAATAAATGATTGCTTTCTTCAATCAGTAGTTATTCTTAAAAGTAATTTTGAGAATACGTTTAAGTAGAAATGCAGAATTGAGTCAGAGTTTTGTTACACAGATTTCAGAATATTATTATGGGTTTGTTTGATCTGAGAAGATAATGTATATCACTTTATCGATTGACTAATCAGAACTCCTGTTATGTTTTACCGGGTGAAAGCTATTTGGTTTACGGCCAAGTGTACAAGGCCTTGATGGATGATCCCGACATACTCGATTAAACTTGAGCAAACAATCTCGACTCCTTTTGGTTAGCTAATAAGCACTCTTTCTTTTTGTATAGGCATGAAGACAAACTACAAGCTTCTACCATTCATTGTTCTCCGCACACTCGGGTTCATATACGGACACATTAGACAGGATGACATAAAACAAAAAATCATTGTTATACAGAAACAGGCCACAGGTGCCAACGAAAGTGGAGAAGCTTTAAATAATTGACTGACAATAAATAAGGAAACATACGAAGTGTTATAATTTCTCATATTAGAAACTAGCTATTCTTATTGCTTAGTATATCTTGGACATTGCTTTAAACAAGAAGTCCCCAAATCAGAACACGGTTGAACAGGGACGTAGTAGAATTCCAAATAACAAGGCTGGTTAGAAGTAGGAATCACAATAAGAAAAACATTAGTATATTTAAGGTTTTTACATAAGAAGATTCCAGAGTCATCCCAAGTCTCCGCTGTCGTTGAGAAATAGCCAGTCAGTATGGCCCAACACAGTCCTGCAAGGGATACGCTTTAATCCAATCTGTATCCCACTAACATGCGTGGTGATAGTTAATAGGTAAAACAGAAGCTTACAACGAATAGAAAATAAAAGCATGATAGTTCAGTAATTTAGTAATTGTATACTAAATAAATATACACATACATTGAAAGTCCGTAAAATGTTTTCGAGTGTAATCCTTCCTTAAATTTTCGTCCTCTTACAACAAGGTTCTTTGATCATTACATAGGTTATTTAAAGATTACGCGCTCACGATGATTCCTTAATATCCCAGGTTCATTCCTCGGTGCGGCCGTCGATGAACACTAATAAGTAGTCTCACATTGCGTTGATACAGCTCCTTAATACTTCCTAGTTTTAAAGTCAAATCATTCATAGAGATCTGTGATTTAATTAGTTACTGGAGGAATTTTTTAAGTATATACATCTTATTCTAAATGGATTGTTGCAGTTTGTGTTGACGTTAACAATGTGGATTGACTTCAACTTGATTAGCTTCAGTCCAAAACTAGCCATTTCATTTAAATCTCACTCAACTTAGTTAAGAAAACATTTTACACAATAACTTATTTAAAGTTACAAATGACTTAAAGTTTTTTCGTTAAACAGATTATAATGATCTTATAAGCATGGAACTAGATATTCTGTCTTATTGTTTAATACATAGTCACAGTCATCAGATAGTGATTGACCTACTATGTCACATTATGCTTGGTGATTTAAACAATTAAAATACAAATACTACTTCATCACTTTGACAACATTTCAAATTGTAATATACTTAGTTTAGTGATAAAGTCATTTCATGTTATGTCTTTTTTTTCTAATTTTGTAGTTACTTGATAAGTATGGCACTGAAGGAAAAATGTCACTAGAACAATTCGGAAGATTTTTTGAACAACCATAATTATGATGAACCATGAATAGTACTTATAATGAAATAAACTTTTTGCACTTGTTTATCTGTAGTAGAAGAGTTGAATGAGATATAACTAACTTCTAATTTGTCTTTAAGATAGTTGAGTTCATCAAACAAAACAAATTTAATATACATAACCATATATGTATGCCATTTTTATACAAGTCAGTTTATTAACACATCATTTGCAATTGATGAAATGCTTCATAATGCAGATTAAATTACGTCAACTCTTGAAACATATTGGATTTACTTGACAAAATATTTATAGTGTATGCAATTAATAGGAATCCATATTATGATGATTGAAAAAATAAAGAATTATAATGCATGTCCATGAAACACTGAATCGTTGATATGTGAAAACAAAATATTCTAAGCTACTGAGTTAATGATGGTAGTTCAGAGTTAATTTGCTAACATAATTTTAACATTAAGCTATTTGATTAAATATTGTAATTTAAAATATTCATCATCAGATGTTAGTAAAGAGCTTCATTTGTATCAGTCATAAGTAACACATTTGTCTATGACAAGAATAAAGTGTCTAAAAAAATTTAATTTAGGATTGTAAAATACTGCAGATATTGTTAAAGCTAAGTGATTTTAATATCAGATCAGGAAACAATATATAAGTTGAATATTTAGAAAGACCAACAATTGAGTTATACTTCAGAAAAATACAAAAGGACAGAAAAATAGCATTAATTATTTGAAAAGTAATTTAGGAAGTTCAGCATTTTCTGGAAAATCTTCTACAACTTTATGTAAAAAGTGTAATTTTTAGTGGTCCTGTTAAATTGTATGCTGATTGTTGTCGAAATACATATGCCGCCAACCTGTCTACATTTTTATCGACTTAATTCGCGTTAGAGAATAACCGAATGAAATAAGCCAAATACGAGAATGAATTTTCAGTACGTATATTCCATACACCCATTGACGCAAACAGACAAATAGAGAAACGAAGTAACATGCAGAGGAGGTGAGTGAGTCAACTCGTTTCGGACAAGCTTGACACAATATTTATATTCAGACAAAAATAAATTATGGACTTATAATGAATAGGGTAAGCAATTAACACTTAAGATCATATAAAAAGTCATGGTTAATAAGCCAATAATCAACAAGGCCAAAAATTGGCTTGAGAAGAACGAATGAATTAGTCTGTCCAGAAGCTAGGATAACCTATCTAGGCTTGAAATAGAGCCCAGCCACTAAAAATTGACCTGGAACCTAAGATTTCATTTGTTTCTTAACCCTGATTTCAATTGATGAATTGTCTTTATCTGTAACAGAATTATACTAACACTAGCCAATTAAACCTAAAGAAACGTTATTCGTCCTATTTTCTCTTGGTAGTTGTTTCCAACCTTATAACAACTTGGTGAGATTACAATATATGGACGACCTTTCAGCGACGCTGAAGTGACCTTGAGGGTGGACACGCACTGACTAGGAATAAATGAGGGTTATAAAGCAGTTAGAATTCTCATTAAAAGTTTATAGTCAGGGTTAGAAATTAGACTTGGGGTCTTCCTCACGAACGGTCATAAGCTATAATGCTAAAACTCTATTTAGCCAAATGTACGAGTGAATTTCGCGCCAAAATTCGTGACTCGTTATCCCATATCTGATTGGTTCGTAAATAAATTATAGTCTCGCCGACAACTGTGATATCCACAAAATGCCGCACAAAGAGAAGTGTTCACCACTATAGTTTTCTACTATTGGCAGTTCAAATTGTGACAAAAACTCTGCTTACATGGTAGCAAATACGACTTCGTGATGCGTAATAAAACTTACTTTTTAATACCTGTTACCACTAGTGGGGGAGCATAGACCGACAACCAGCATTCTCCATTCAAATATGACCTGCACAATCCCCTCCACTTGTTTCCATTCGACACTCATACCTTTGATGCACACTTCCACACACACCCAAAACAATGGTTATTTAGTCTTCCACTTTTCCGTTCCCTTTCAGGGTTCCATGTTAGTGCTTATTTCGTGATGCAGTTTGATTATTTCCACAATGTGTGTCCCATCCACTAACAACGTCTTTTCCTAATTTTCCCCTCAATAAGAAGTTGGTTTATTCTCACACACAGTAGGCTATTGCTGATGATATCCGATCAAAGGATAATTAGTATGTTGTGTAGACAAATGTTTGCAAATACTTGTACATTCTCGATGATGGTTGTGGTAGTTCTCCATGTTTCAGTTCAGTACAATGGAATTGTCTTGACGTTCGTATTGAAGATTCTGATTTTGATAATCGCTTGTAGACAGTTGTTTTGGTTTCGAGATGTTGTTCCACAGTAGGAATGCGATCCTTGCCTTTACGTTTGCATTGGATCCTCAATTGTTCATCGATGATTTTGAAAATATCATGTCTGTGGATGTTTCCACCTGTTCCAGAGTTTCTCCATCAAGTTTGTTTGGTGTTGTCTGTGTTGTAGTTGAGGATCTTGCCTTAACACATGTGAATGTTGAGGCCTAGTGATTCAGAGGCTGCTGCTGCTACTCTGGTTTCCTTGACCTGCATTTGTTATTATATATGCGATGAAAGGGTGAGGTGGTTGATGTTTGGTGACAAGTCACACTCAATTGATTGTTCGACGGGGATATGTATTGTGCCCATTTGGTCTGTGCACGATTGATCCTTATAGAATCCGACCTGTTGATGTGGAAGTTGAGTGTCTACTGAATCTTTCATCAGGTTCAGCAACACTCTTTGAAAACGTTTCCTCGTACCGATAGTATTGTGATGCCTCTTTAGTTCTCACACCTGTTCAAATCTACATTATTTGATATCTTGATGAGATCTTTTTCTTTCCAGTCTAATGGCATTGTTTTACTGAAGAAAAATTCTCATCAGTGAATAGACTAAAATTCTAACGGTTCAAGGAATTTAGATAAAGAAATTTATATCAAGTACACTTTCTGATAGGTCTTGCGAATTGAACGCTATATTCGTTTCCTAAGCTATTCTTTAATCCCCAAGCTAGAACTATACAGCGACCTGAACAACAAGAGAGAAGACTCAAAGTATGCGACGAGGAGTTTACTCCAAGGTTCATTTCAATACAGAAAATACATGGTTTTTATAATATTTTAAATGTCCTTGGGTTACTAGAAGATTTTGGAATGCTACTAAACATAGTAGCAGTGTAGCAATCAGCCAATCAGTACCTCTGCATGTGACGTTTCACTTGTTTGATACTTTTGGCTAAAACTTCAAGTGAACGTTGAGTGAATGAAACGCTTCTTAGTGTTTCCTGATCCTTGCTTGTCTTTTGCAAGAAATATTCTGGATCACTCTCGCACCTGTTCAAATCTACATTATTTGGTATCTTGATGAGATATCCTTCTTTCCAATCTGTGGACACTTCTTCTTCCTTCCAAATCTTCCTAAATAATACGTAGAGCATGTTTGTATTCAATTCAATGTCTGACTTTTGTGCTTCAGATGGTATGTTTTCAGGACCTACTGCTTTCCCAATATTGATCTGTCTGATGGCCTTCCTGATCTCTTCGATCGTTAGTGGAGTGACATTTTCTGGAGTGTCTGTAGGCGCTTCTTTGATGTCTGGAGGATCCAATGGAGCTTACCTATTCAAGTGTCCCACCCCTATGTTCCTCTGATTTTGAATCACATTGAGTGGCTTGCCTTCGTTGTCCTTGTCTAGCCTTTCCGGCTTACTATATTTCCCTGCTAGTTTCTTCGTTGTATCACATAGTCGCTTCATATTTCCTTCTCTTGCAGCTTTTTCTTTTCGTTGCTAAATCTTCCACCTATTTCTGCTTGTCAACTCTATTGCCATTCTTCATTTGCTTGTTTGCTGCTGTATATTCAGCTTGTGCCTTGACCTTCTCTGTTCTTGTTCGGCAGTTGTTAATTGCTGCGTCCTCGTTCTTCCTTTCATGAATCTTGTTCAGGGTTTCAATGAAGATCCATACCTCACGATGATGCTTCTTGCAGCCCAGCACCTCCTGACATGTTGAAGTTAGTTCATTTTGATCTTTTTCCAATTGTCCTACACAGTAGTTTTCTCTTCTTCCAGTAGATCTTGTAAGGCCTAGAATCTGTTGTTGAGAGTTATCTTGAATTGGTTGAGTCTGTCAGCATATGGAGTGAAGACTTTATTGAACGTTTATTCTGCTGTTTATCTAGATTTCTAATGCTTTTTTAGCTTCAGTTTCATCTTGGCAACCACCAGGTGTTGATCTGAAGCTATGTCAGTTCCTCTCCTGGTTCACGTCTTCTATTGACCTTGTGAATTTTTCATTAATGCAAACATTATCTATCTGGTTCTGTGAAGTGATTTGGTGAGATCCATGTAGCTTCGTGTATGCAGTTGTGTGTCAATATTAAGCCGCCTATAACTAATTTGTTGAATGCACATAGATTTGCAAATCTCTCTCCATTCTCGTTTCTATCCCCCAGTAAGTTCATGTTGTCCCATGATATCTTCATATTCCATGTTGTCCATTCCGACTTTGGTGTTTAAATATCCCATCAGAATGGTGAGATCCCTTCTTGGGCACTTCGCTATGATTGATTGCAGCCTCAAGGAGAACCGATCTTTATTGTCATCTTTGCTATCATTGGTGGGTGCATAAAATTGCATAACATTCATCGTGATTCCCTCCTTTTTGTTGAAGTATGCCTTGATTATCATAGGTCCATGAGATTCTCATCCTATAAGTGCATTACATGCTCCCTGGGTGAGCTGAGGATTCTCTTCTTCATGGCCAGAGTACAGCAGCACTTATCCCGAATCTAACCTTTTCTGTTCAGCTTGGGTATAATGGTTTTCACGGATTCCGATAACCGTCAAGTTGTATCTCCCATTTTTATAGCTAGTTGATTGGTCCTCCCGATCTCTCATATTGTTCGAACATTCCATGTACCTATATTAATCGTTGCTCTGGTTGTCAAAAGGGACATCAGCCCCGTGCTTTCCAAAGGATGTCGGCTTTCACCATGAGGCGCCATAATTCTTCTGGGTGGAGATCCTTCAACTCGGAGGACAGAGTTTAAATGGTTTAATTTGTTAATTCTAGTTATCGTTTTTTAGTAAGGTTGTTTTCTACGGTATGAAGTTGCTGGCCTCATACCCAACCCTCCTCCTTTACACGGGCTTGAGACCGGCAGTAACCTTAAGAGTTGCATAATAAAAACAGCAAAATAAAAGTAAAGTTAACAACCAGATAACATTAAAGGCCACTAGTGTATTGTGACTTTAAAATACTACCGAGGATGTGTTAATTCGTCAAAAGTAAGATAATCCTAGTTGTAACTGTATGATATAAAATAAAGTAGTTTTTAAAT